AATGTTGCCCAAACATGACGACCCCCGCTCCCCCAATGTTGATGAATGCGCGACGTCCCACGCCGAACTTCCATATTATTAACTACAAGGTGCGCCAATGATCTAAATTTAATGGATTCCTGATGTAGAGACCAACACCGCCATGAATGCCCGTCGTACGATTCTTCGAGATAAAATTATACTCAGGAATATAAATATGATTGTCATTGATAGATTCATGTAGCTATGTTTCAGTAAAACCAAAGTTATTATTACACATAGCGCGCGAAGATATTAGTACACATATATAGTGCACGAAGTATAACGGTTGACTGTGATTCTTTTAAGTCTGTATGGTGAAGCGAACTTAATTTTTAGTTTCTCAAACGATACAGGACTCTCAAAGACTGATCTGAAGTAATTTCATTTCCCTTTAATAATTTTATTTGCATACTTCGTTGTTGATATATTTTCTCTTTTCTGGTAATCAAATGAGATAAGTTAGGGAACGGTCATTATTTATAGCGAGAATTAGGTGAGTGGATTAATATGGGAGGGGAGAGACAGTGGCTGACCTTTAACAAAACTCGATAGAAATATAATTTCATAACAATAAGAATAACTACAACAACAAAACAGAGGCGACTTTTGTTTTCGCTTTGCAAAATTTTCGCGGGCGCAAGTGTTTTTCCTCGAAAATTTTGATTTTCAAAGTTCGAACATGTATTTTCGAATGACGTTAAAGTTTTCGACATTGCACTTTACCGTTGTTTTTTAAAATATCGCAAACTTTTACTGCTACATGTAATAAAGCAACTCTTTATCTACATCTTACTTATTTTAAATGTGCAGGGATTGCCAAGAAGACCATTTTTCGTGCGCGAGAAATGACAAGCAACATATATTGAAATTGATTTCTTGTTGTGTTAAGAAGCATTTTTTGAACTTTAATATACGAATGCTACGAAACTTGCTACGGATATGGGAAGGATATTTTGCTGAGTATTCCGCTCCTGGTTTGAAATACCAGGCGTTTTTCCAAGGGTTTTGCTTGGCTTTAGTCGACGTTAATGTTCTTGCTAAGAATAGTGAACTTTTCTTTGTTATTTAGCTACGTCTGTGTCTCATGCATTGGGGCGGTGCATCTGTTCAATTTTGAACTTTCTGTGTTACAAAAAGCAAGGGAGTGCACAAAATTGAGGCAAACATTTTGACAAACTAGAATTTTTCTCAAAATCTGACTTTTTCAACAGTTCTTTATTCTCTTACTTTGAAATATCGCTGTCTCGTCTCGTAGCAAAATGTCAGTCGATTACTTGGTTATATTGTGAAATGGGTTTTTAGCGTTCTAAATTAACTGTATATTTTTGTGATAAGTAGCAATCACCGAAGTTCCTTGCAGTGAGAAGATTTTGAACTCAGTGTAGTATGTTATTTGTACGAATCTGCGCTTTTCAACACTGTTTTTCCCAACCTCATTCCCAGGCTCTTTCTGCTGGTTTGGGAAGGAGGGAAGAGTCTGGAAACGAGATTGTGTTTTCCAGATTGATTTAAAGGCTAAATGATTTATGTGTTGGAAAACTAGTTGTGGTAGACTCAAAAATTGCATAAAAACACGTAAAATAAAGGCGAAATTGCAGGTGCATTTCTCTATTCGAAAAATGTATACACTCCAAATAAAACAGGTAGTTTTACGACAAAATAAACTGCTGCAACGTTTTCATTTCCACTTTTACGTTATTATTACAAAACATTCAAACACTTCTAAGTTGGAAATGCCTAAAATTGGGAGCGTACAAACAGTAAAGGAACGGAAAATGAATTTATAATGTGAATAGGTTTCGCAAATTGGATGTTTGTTTTTAGAAATCAGTCACGCGATAAACCCGCGTTCATGTAAGCTCATACGCTTTCAATGGAGCTTGCGATTCTCGCAAATGCGTAGACAAAAATTTACTCTGTTCAACAACAATAACGCAAGGAAAATTACGTGTGATTGATATGTTTGACCCAGGGCAAAAATACCCCCAGACTTTAATCCCCGGGTAAACCTTTACTGAACTTAAAGTATAACTCTAAGTATTTAACCTAATTTTGGAAGACCCAGGATCAAACATAACCCAGTATATATGACGCATGTGATGTCAGTTAATAAAACTATCGTATGCATCACAGAGTTTAAATTTCTGTGATATCAATGTACTCCATAGCCAGGCCTCCATATGCATATACTGGTACTCATTATCGTCAGATCAAAATATATCAACAACGAAAGTAACTAGATATTTTAAAATTTTAAGAATTTTGTTTGGTTTAAGAAAAAAGATATTCTCACTTCTTCACATCAGTATAAGTATATTGATTAATAAGAAATCAACATTTGGTTTCCACAGGGGCATAAAAAATTATGCTAATCTTAGATATCCACACCGGTGTTGATATACACTCATGACAAACATGATATTTACCTGTGTACATAACACCAACACAGAAAAAAATGTTGGAGTCTAAGTTGCCCAAGAATTATATTTACTAGAAATAATAAAAATGAATCACAAATATTTACCGTGTTTCTTTTGAGAACGAAACTTGAAAGACAAATCTAGACGATGTTCTGAACGCCAGGTTCCAATAATCGGAATGTGGTTCAAGCGTGTTGCACAGCATTACTCAAATAACTGCGTGCAAAAAATCTATATTTATTTCGGTTACATTTGCTTTCATTCTCTCCAGGTTGTATTAGCAGTCGCGCAATGATTTGACTGTTCGTCCTTTTGATCACACAAATGCCAGTAAACACATCACAAAAGTAAGAACAAGTGCAAAAGGGTATGATTTTGTATATATCGCAGTTGGCACGCCAAAAAGAACTAGTGTTTTTTATTTAATATATAGTCTGGTGGTTTGCGGGAACACTTATTGTTGTTCTTTTAATCCTTTATTTCTTTTACAAAAGAAAGTTGTTAGATTAATGACTTTTTCTAGTTATTATGAACATACAAACCCGCTCTTTATTAAACTTGAGATTCTAAAGATACATGATCTTGTCATTTATTATAATGCATTATTTATGTACGATTTTCATAGTGATAATTTGCCGGATACATTAATTAATACATTCTTTTTCCCTGTTAATCATACACATAATTGTAATACCAGCTTGCTTCAAGATCATCATATTCTTTTCCTCGTATAAGAACCAATTATGGAAAATTTAATATCAAATATTCTGGTGCAAAACTATGGAACGATATTGATGATGAGACAAAGAAACTAAAACCATCGCAATTTAAAAAGAAATTTTAAAAAAATTATTATATTATCGAAATAAAATGAGTGAAATTGGTATTCTTCAATATTGGAATTATATTCTTAAAATATATTCATTGATAATTTGCATGATAATTTGATTGCAATTTTATATTTAAGATATTTAACCGTCTGAGCTATTCTCACTATTTGATTTTCATAATAATTACAAGCTAGCTTTAATATGGTTATTACAGTTAGCTTGCACCATTGTTTTGTAGAATTACCTTTTGTAAATAATTATTTGGTTTAGTTAATGGTGCTTAATAAATTTTGATATATTTTTTTTATTGATTGATTGTTTTGAAATATAGCTATTATTTTCGTCCAAAACGATTTCTGGTAACATGCCATGCATGCATGAATATTTACCGTTTTTAATTTCATTATATGCCAGCCTCGCCTGAATAGCTGTTCCTTTCACATACGACAAAGGCTGGGATTGTAACAGCAACACGATATGATATGATGTGATATGATAGCAATTTAAAATAAACAATACTGACACGAAACCAAACTTTCAGTACACCATGGAAATTAAAAATATTAAACGACAGGTATAATAAAAAATGCACCAACACTATATAGTAACATTACAGTTATTAGAAACCAACAAAATTTAGCAATGACAAATTCGGGGGATGACTTATAATTTTCTTCATTGAGCAATTTTATTATAATCTGAAACCGTTGGGTTGCTTGAAAGTCATGCAGTTAGCTTAATCCTAGTTTAACGAGAAACGTGAAACAATCATACTAACGGTCTTCCCCCACTAACTAACGCTCTTCCCTAACGCTCTTCTGTAACCTTCTTCTCCCATAATTAATTACAACATTTTCCATATGTAAATTGCTGTGCTTATACAAGTAAGAAAAACCGTAAACATCATATACAGTATATTCCGCACGCTCCGAAGTTCATAACCTTGTCGTAAGGAGTTTTTACATGTAAGCTTATTGGGAGATTGTACGTGCTATAGGAGTGGATGGTGATGTGTATCTTCGACCACCGTGAAATCCCCCAGGAAAAACAACTCGCCCCCCTTCCCAACGTTATATAGCCTAAAGCCAATTTAAAATGTTTAAATTCAGTTAATCAGAGAATATGTTGAAAGCAAGTGTTTTGCAAGCTTATCCTCATTGATACATGCATGACAAAGGTGCAAGTCGACATTTCCGTCTATTGTTGGTGGGTCAAAGATTATTTTCTTGAAGCAGCACTGCGTTCACGTGAATATTAATGAAAGAAATGCTTTTAGCCAATGAAAAGCTTTTACATATCCCAACTAAAACCAACAGCCAATCTCAAAGCAAGTAGGAGCATAAGTTATGCATCATGCGCAATTTTTTGGCATTATTTGCTCAAAGCTTTTGAAGGATTTACCTTCGAGCTCCATGTTACAAAGTTTAAATCAATATTAATAAATTCAACAAAATGTCGGTTTAAATGCCTTGACAACAAAGAAACGGAACGAATCAACGTCGCCAAACTCGATCTGGCGTGTTGGATGATGACAGTATTGCGAGACTGCGTCGTAGATGCGAGGAAGAAGGTATACTAGTGGCGGTCGAAGACAAACTTTGATTGCGCGCTTACAACAACACACTATGGGAAATGTGCCTTCTGCTACGCAGAGTACTTCGGTAGAAACATCAACCGTTAGTTCTACACTGGCCACACTGTCTTGTTGATCGATGCACAACTCGCACAGATTCGATCAATCGTGTCAGAAAGCGTAGAACGATCTGCCGCTGAAATAGCAACGAACGCCGCCCGGGCTGCTGTCCAAGCTATGACTTCGTCGACCGCACAAAGCCATCCAGCCGTTCTAACAGAAATCCCGAGTGCTTCCTCCGATGTTCTTCGTAGTCAACCGTGCGCAGTTCCAGGTGTTAGTACACTTGATCTAACACAGTTTGCTCAAGCGGAACCAGCCACCCCGTATGGACAGGGCGCGCATGATATCCCAGCTTCCTACGTGAAACAGTTTCAGTCTGGTGAGTTTTTGACTTATCAAAACTTTTACCCATTAGCTTGCCCACTGCCGCCGATGACGGTTCAGTCGTCTTTACGTTTAAAAAGTCGTCTCCAGGAACTCAAAAAATCACTAGCATCGAACAATGGACGACTGCGTTTACCAGTTATATGAGCGCCCTTACGCACAAGTTTCCCACCAGATCTCGAGATTTACTCCAGTGTCTGTCACTGATTCGTCACGCAGCACAAACACACCGAGGGCTTGGGTGGTGCGTCTACGATCACAAATTTCGTTTGGCCTTTTTGGATTTCTTCGTCTAGACGAACTGACATGTAACACTAAATTCTACTCCGATGTCCATCTCATGCTTGACAACCTTTATTTTGCTCCAGGGGTGGGTCAAGGCAACCCCGAATTCATGACAGTGGAAATCAAAGTCTCCAAAACAGACCCATTCCGTTTGGGTCAAACAATCAAAGTTCGCGCATCCAACTCGCCCCTATGTCCTGTTTTGGCAATGAAGAAGTACCTCTTGGTTAGAAAAATAACGGGTGGTCCACTCTTTGTTCATGTTTTTGGAAAACCTCTTACCAAACAAACTTTAACGGCTGAGACTCGGATTTTATTAAATTAAGCAGGTTTTAATGCGTCACACTATGCTGGTCATAGCTACCGAATTGGGGCCGCTACAACTGCAGCTTCAGCTAATTTGTCTGCGTGGCTCATTAAAACTCTAGGACGATGGCCTTCCGATTGCTATGAACGATACATTCGTATCCCATCTTTTGCCCTGTCAAAGGTATCTGCCACCATGACTGCATCATTCAATTAAAAAAAAGGGGAAGGGCGTTTTCGTCTATGGGGAACACTCGATTGTGTGTTTTTGGGAAAGAAGTATTCCAATATGTCAACTTCATTTCCCATAGACTCTAGTAACGTCACATATAAACATTTATTTCAAATAATAGGGACTGTCTAAGCGGTTCTGTGGACCTTAGACAGGTTAGGGACTGCCCAGGTGGGCAGGTTAGGGACTGTCCAAGTGTGCTCTTGGTCAGATACGTCAGGCAGTCGCTACTCCTGACTAGCATTCACAGTTCAGTACAGCATTAGGTATGTGACGATGAGGAGGGAGTTCGTTTGGCATAGATACAGAGTTCTTCCCCCCAAAACACCCCATCTCCCAAAAAACAAAAACGTGTGTTTTCTATTGTGTCTTTGGATAATTAACTTAAGGTTATCCTGATAAATTATCATTGCTTTTCCGCCGCTCAACCGCAAACAATAAATTACTCCATGCCGGATTACTACACGTTGTACAATCCCCTACTTTGCACACTTTCTTCTCTATGGTAACTTTACACAAACTGTTTGACATCTTCAGTACTGCATGCAGTTTTCATTAATCATGATCATGCATGGTAGACCTCACAAATGCAAATTAATCAGTCTTAATGATTGCAGAGTTTTATAAAGTTTTGTTGGTAGACAAAGTAGACCTGTTGGTAGACCTCACATATCTTAAGTTCTCTTCTGCTACTGTATCTACCTTACGTTAAGAAGAGTATAGTTCTAACAAGGTGTTTGAGAACTAGGATTGGTAACTGTTACACCGAATTCTATAGGTCTAGATTCGTGTTTGTTGGTATTGCATCGGAAAGGAACAGCGTTGGGGTCTAAGATCGGATTCTCAGTCAACGGCTCTATTGTATAGGTACATAATTTGGAAGCGAATCACATAAAGTCCAACTTTTCCTCTTAATTTAACACCACAGCACGGGCGATACGTTGTCGTGCACGTTCTGGTTATGGCCATGATATTGCAGTATCAGTGTATACATTCGAAGTTCGGCTTGCTCCGAATGAAGAGCTAGTATAGAAACCTTTGGCGCGACTTTGGATATTATAAAAGTCAGCAACCTAAGAATCTTTTTTACTTTTATAGATGGCAAAAACTGACACGGTGTAAATATATATCAGCCCTAAATTACCTTTCAATAAATGTATGAAATCCAACAAAAGATCAAAAGGCTTCAACGGCTACTACGTTTTAATTGAGAGGTTCAGGCTTAACTTCCACTTCTGCTAGTGCTACGCCGCTACCATTAATGAACCTTTGACGAATTGGATACATTTGAACTATCTGATTAACCAATCATGTAGATACGTACTAAGCCAGTGAAAGGTAGTGGATGTCAAATCTCAACATCTTTAATAACCCAACTCCGGCTCAGAGCCCCCACGCACTTGTCCTCACACAGTCGTACCACTTCGCAATGTGGTCAATAAAGCCTAGTTTGCATTTGGCCGTTAGTTGTCGCTGGCATGACAAGTAGCTGATGTAATAGAGTATCAACAAAACTTTATAAAACTCTGCAATCATTAAGACTGATTAATTTGCATATAACACACATAAAGACCATTGATATTAGACTATTTCACATCTACCGGTTGTTGTGCCAGCGACAACTAACGACCAAATGAGAACTAGGCTTAACAAGTACAGTAAGGCCCGTTTTATACGTCGAATTTCGGTCGCGTCGAATGCAATTCAAACAATAGATAATGAAGCTTAATGAGGTTTATCATCTCATTATCTATTGTCTTAATTGCATTCGACGCGACCAAAATTCGACGTATGAAACGGGCCTAAGGCAGCGTTTACACTGTACCGTTTTCGTAGCGTTCTCGTATTGTTCTTAATCCTCAAAGGAACACAAGACAATAGTCTAGTTCTCTCGAACAATACGAGAACGCTACGAAAACGGTACAGTGTAAACGCTGCCTAAGTATACAGGGTGTATCAAAAAAAGCGCAACCTCGGAATTTCCCAAGAAATCGACATTGTTTTAAAGACAAAAGATTTTAGGCGCCTGGGAATTTAAAATAGCATCACTGTCAAAATTACTGCACACACGAGTGCATAAAGCAAAATTTATGCATTTATTTAATGCACAACAACAGTAATATGTTCTATTAGCAATTCGATTTCAAATCCCATGGGCCTAAAATCTTTTATGCTTAAGAATTGCAAACTAAGTGATTTCTTAGGAGATTCCGAGGTTGCGTTTTTTTTATACACTCTGTATACCGGGTGTATCAATAAACCTGCAAAATTATATAACTTGCATAACTAACGGTGAAGGGCTCACTAAACTCTTTGTTTTCTTTGGTGACGACTTACTTAATAAATTTATTTACATTTTTTAAGAGATGTAATATTCTTGTATTATGCCTTTGTAATCAAATGAACTTGGTAATTTTCATCCCAAGTTGAGGAAGTCTATATGGTCGGTTATCCAAGAGAGAAGTGAGGAAGTCTTGAAAAGCGATCTGATCGAGTTTTTTTGATGAATCACGATCAAGTAACGAGCATGCAGGAATATAATAGACATACGACAAAATTCACCAAAATCGACGAATTAGAACAAAAAATCCCAATAAATTTTTCCGAAACATTTAATTAAAAGGCTTGCAAATTATTAGAAATCAAGTAAATATAATTTTCAAAACTGGCGGTGCGTTTGTAAAACCTTTATATTAAACATTGTTTACACTCTGAAGGCTGCGTTTCTCTACGAACCCTATGACAAAAACTTATAGTTGCGTGCAGGGCCTCCCTTAAGGAGAACTTCCAGTCCATGCACGAAGCTCCTCGCAGCTCGCTGCGATTGCTTGCATCTAATTAAAATGAACTGTTTAGCATTGTGCTTGAATGAAAGTGCTCGTGCATGCACTCGCAGTGAGCTGCAAGGAGCTTCGTGCGAGGACTGGAAATCCGCCTTTATTCGAGCCGCCTATGAGACAGGACGGCCTGCTCAAAATTGGAAGTTTGTAAAAATGCTCCTCCCTCATATCACCACTTTAATGCGCCTAGCATAATATTAAGTTTACAGAACACCTTTAAATGTTAATTTTGCCTAAAATTTTTTTATTGGTTTCAATGAAAGCATTAGACTAGCTCTACTATCTGACCAAGTTTGAACAAAAAATGTTGAAAACTCGCAGAGTTATTTAATAAAATACATTTCGCTGCAATAAGAAAAACATTGAAAATGTAATATTCAAATTCAATTTTCTCCCGAAAATTTTTTACGGTAATTACTGATTTTCAAACGAGTTGTGCTCCTGCGGGTTTTAACCAATTTTTCTCAAATTTTCAAAGGACATAGCTAAATACGTCAGCTTCAAAATTGTATTCGGTTTTTTTTAAATTTAGATATTTTAAAAATAAAGAGCAATTCACTCAAACGATTCAGAAATATATTGCAGTCGTCAAAGAAATCGCCATATCAGCGGAATGACAAAATAAACAAAAAAAATGATATTTTCATAAATATAACTTCAAACCAGCAGGAGCACAACTCAAAAGCGTAACGGTACCGTGATTTTAGATTTTCCTGAATAATTTGTACATTATGTTATTGTTTGTTAATTTTACAACTTTACCATATTTCGCATGGACTGGAGAATATTTGGTGAAAATTTGATGAAAATCGGACTGATATTGAGCGCGCAGTAGCGATTTTCCGCAAAACGCCAAAAAGGGTGTCCTGTAACCTTAAAGTTGTGAATTATTTTCTCCGTAAGGGTATTAATTCCGCCCGGCTATTTACTCCCAGGGAAATTATAGCATTAGCGAAGTCAAAAGTTCATCAATGATCACGTGCGCTGGTGACCGTGCGTTTGCGGTCATTCTCACTGATCTCTAAATATACCGGAGTGTCATTGGTCCAATTTAAAATTTGCATTATAACGACAGCGAAATAGCAAACATTTCGACAGCGAAATAGCAAACATTTCTTGATTTGATAATTTCTTGCAAATTCATTTCATTTTTGCAAGATTCCGTTTATTTCAAAAGCTTTTTGAGAAAAAACGCGAAAGAATTTCTCTAGAAGTTTTAAATATTGATGTATCGTTTGCTTTATATTAGCTACTTGCTCTAAAAGCTGGTCGTCGCGCCTATTTCATATGAAAAAAGAAAGCATATAATTTCAGTGTATCTTTATTGATTACCTTATTTTATTATACTAAAAATTTCAAATGGAAATGAAAACAAAGTTATTTGCAAGCAGAATTTGAAATCATGCATTTTATTTCAAACTCAAAGTTTTAACTCTTTCCTGTCACGACCCTACAAACGCAATACACTGCTGTAATACGACTTTGCAGATTCATATCTTCGGTTCGGTGCATGCTATGTAGATGAAAATACCACCATTCGATTCAGCGTGTCGAAATCTCCTAGTTCCTAACGATAGATTTAGTCGATGTCAACATTATCGCAATTTATGGCCTTTGGAAGTCAAGCGAGATTGTATATTATCAAATTACGCAATTGTCTGAACAACAATGTAGACTGGCCGTACCTTTCGCCGAACATAACTTTGGCCGCTTCGGCCGTATCTTCTTTGTAATAGTCTTGTTCGAATCGCTATCAAAAACACTATTTACAGTGTTATTTTCGAGATTATATCATCAAATTTGAATCTTTTATTACCATATTTCCATTTCTGGTCTGACTATGAGATAATCCCAACCGGAAGTATGACTTAAAAATGTCAAAACAATGCTACGCTTGTATCGCGTGACTCTGGAAATGCCAGAAATGGATTCTACAGGTCAAAGTGC